GAATGAGGAAATGGTTGAGTTATTGTTTCCTCTTGTCTGGTTGTTTATACTCATGTGAGACTCGTGACTGCTGGTGTCGTCACTTGTGGTGACTGGTGCCGTCACTTGGTACACTTGGTACCGTATTTGGTGTTGCCGTAGCTGAGACTGGAGTCAGGCTATAGCAACACTTGGGAGAACTGTTGTAGTAGCTGGAACTAGAGGAAGTTCCTTGCCACATGATACTTTGAGTTGGGGCTGGAAGCCCTTGGAAGTTTGGAAACTTGTAAGGAAGTATTCCGTAGTAGTTGTGGATGCTCCAATCTTGATGGGCTCCACTGGACTGGACGTGTCACGGTCGATGATGGTTCGATGGTGATGTAGTCGGTAGATCCTTGGTTGGTGATGTCACTGCTCTTACACTCCTGTGAGATGGCTGTGGCCGGACAAGTGTTGGTTCTGTCACTGCTCTTACACTCCTGTGAGCAGGCTGTGGCAGAACTTGTAGTCGTCCATAGTTGTATCTGTTGTAGGCTTGATTTGATGTACTTACGTACTTCTGTTGTTGGTGGAGACTAAGGTTGGTTCAATCTCTGTACATAGTTGCAGTGGAGCTGAGGTGTGCACCCTCTTGTTGTTCTTTTGATCAGGTTTCCTCTTGTAGGTCAAACTCTGTCTGCTCCAGCCATCCTGTGGCTTTGTTCCTTGTCTTGTGAACTCTTGAGTTGCTTGCTTGTAGCTAGCTACTCGGTTCACGTTCCTGTCGTTTGCTGTTTTTGCAGTTGCCATTATTGTAGATGAAATTCGAATTTGGTTTGTCGTTCATTGTAATCGGTTTGGTAGAGTAGTTACCGTTGTTGGCTGTTGTTGCCATCGATGCTGGCTGTTGATGTAGCCATTGATGGTTGGCCGTGTTTGTTGGCCGGTAGTTGTGGCCATTGATGGTTACGGCATTGCTATAAAGGCGGATGTGATGATGATTTTGTTTGTAGGATTGTAGGTTTTGGATTTGGGTACCTCACACTCCTGTGCACTTGCTGTGATCAAATAGCAAGGGCATGGTCTTGTAATGGTATCTGTTGTTGCCTACCTAGAGGCTGTGGTTGCCTCAGGTTTGCCTGTAATCAGTGGAGGAAGTGTTGTTGCAGTTGCACAATACACTTTCCATAAAAGGTAGTAGGAGGTGCTGTGGCTTGGATGCCACAATACACACTCCATTAAAGGGGTAGGAGGTGCTGAGTGTAAACTCAATACACACTCCAAAGAAATTATTTGATGCTGGTGGAAGCACTCCTGTGCTTCCTGTAGCTTGCAAGCTTGAAGCTCTTGTGCTGTTAGTGTTGTTGGTTCTAGCGCTAGCTATTACCGGAGCTAGCACTGTGCATGCTCGGTACAGGTACCGTGCATGGCTGCGCTGCTGGATCTTCCACGGAAAATCCTCTTGTTGCCGATGTACGGTGAGATCTCTCTGCACGTACACTCCTGGAAAGATATCTCGAAAGATACCTTTTTCGTTGTGACGTTCAGCGGCTGTCGTTCGCTGAACATTCAGCTTGTTCTTTAGCGTTCCGTGTCAGAACTGGTTGCGGCATTGCCTATAAAGGCGGATGTGATGATGATTTTGTTTGTAGGATTGTAGGTTTTGGATTTGGGTACAGTAACACTCTAGCTTAGTAAAGGTAAAATACTGTTTTACTGTTAAGCTATTTCAAGAAGTGATCTTTCTCCATGTATTTCTGGATTGATTCAACTTCAAAGGATATAGTGAAGGGGGTGACCATATAGATCAGTTAAACTCCCCATGTATGTAACTAGAGAATAGATATAGATATCCCCTATCAACTAGATTGGGATAAACGATAATTGTATTGAGGTGTCTGTAATACAACCTCCAACGAGTGTAACGGGTTTTGGTTTCCCTTTTTCTCGCTTGTTAAATCTAACATAGACGATGGGTTGAGGTCTCTTGTCTTGCGACGTTTACGAGGTGGTTGGCCACGGACGAGGTTAACGATGCTAAAGATCATCAGAGTCTAGTTGACAGCTTCTAGGAAATCATTAATTTGCCGTGGTTCATCAGTTGCAAAACATTCTTGTTTACTAGTTAGTGAGATAGTATCTTCATCACTTTGGATGAGAAATCGGAACATGGTCCGTTGAGTCATCATCCTGGCTAATCTCAGATAGAGATTTCTCCATCCAAGTGATTAAAATTGATAGAGGAGTTGCCTCATTGTCAGAGTCTTTGATTTGGCTTGGCAACATGGTTGGAAGTTTGAAGTGGTTGCACGGTATGTCGATCTCGTTTTCTTCGTCATTGCGACGAGAGGAAGAATGGGTTTGTCACGCAACTGTTTCTCGAAGTTGCGGAACGCATGCTTTCCTTGAGCCATCTTGATGGTGAAGGAATAGGTTGAGGGTAGCTGAAAGCTATTGTGTTTGTTAACAAATGCACTACGCTAAAAGCTAGTGTAAAGATCTTTCGAGTGTTTTGAGTTTGAGAGAATGAAAGTTATGAGAGAGATTAGAAAGCTATGAAAACTAATCAACGAGAGAGATCATCATCAAGGGATCGTAGATCTGGCTTCGCGCGGGAGACTATAAAGTGTGATAGAGTAGGTTGCGGTAGTAATCCTACGTCTCTCCACGATCCTAAAACGGAACGCGTGGAAGGTTTGTCTAGCTTGGATCTAGTAGCGTGGAAGTACTCCACGCTGGCTAAATATCTAGAGCGTGTTTATCATCAACCTAGTATGACTAGGCGGTCATTGAGAACCCTGTCTCAAATGACTATTCACGAGAGACTCAGTCATGAGTCGAACTCAAACCCTATCTAGGATCGAGTCGCGAATAAGGCTAAGAGCCGTGTATTGCAGTCCAACAACTTACCATCATCTTATATTTTATCATATCAATTTCCTGCTGTCCATGACACTGGTTGTTCTTGGTTGACCGTCAACTCTAGTCCCTTCAGAAGTGTGTCATGCCAGCCACCAAGAGTGCTAGTCGCTGTCTTGGAGAGTCAATTGCCAAGGCCACCGCTGAGAAGGTTTGCGAGCACTTGGGTGAAGATGAGAAGGACCTTTACGTCTTTCATGTCATGGCATCTGTCGACTTGGAGCATGCTGCTGCCGAAGCTTTCTAAGAAGCTCATAGCATTGTGTTTGATGTGTAAGCTGGATTGGGAGGACACACCACCACCCAGTCGAAGACGAGGATACCAGGTAGAATCGGTGTTTTTATGTTTGATGGTGTGTCTTGCTTGCTCAGATACTGTTGCTATCACAAGGGGCCACCGCATTCAGATGCATGTGATTCACAGCAAAATGTCAATTAGAAATGTTTTCATACCGGACCTGTACTACCAGCTAGCTCACATAGATTGTTCAGGGACGGATGCTGCGCTGGCCAGGGGAAGCTCGAGAGCAACACGATTGGAGTGGTATCCAAATCTTGAGCATTAACCAGCAGCCACTTTGATGGGCTGCTGCCAGTATGGCTATTATTGGCTTGGAAAGATGATCAAGTGGAAGTCGGAGAGCCAAGAAAGGGAACATTTGCTCCCGGCCATGCGCTGGATAAGTCTTTGCATGTGAATGCACAATTTTAATTGGCGTTCCTCTTGATGACAAAAAACACATTGGTTTTGTAAATTTAATGTAGCCCAGGGGCTGAAGGCCTGGGGCTGATATCACAAGAAACCTCGGCAGTCTATCTGCCTGAGCCCTCACACCCTTTTTTGGTATTTCCTATTTCTTATTTCGGCGAAGCCAAAATATAGCTAGGGATAGAGATAGGCATAAGCCAACCAAACTGGCAATTGAAGGTTCAACTGAATTTAGGGGTAGGAATAAATCAATATTATTTAAGATTAGTGCACTCAGCACAAAAGCATGTTAAGCCAGCAAGAGCTGTAAAGACTAGAGTTACAAGTGGAATGACAGCTATAAATTACATGTATGGGTTAGCCGGCGGCAACACACGATGCAGTCCGGTGTTGTCGCCAGGGCTAGCTTGAAAGAAGGGTTCAATCTCAAACATGATTCTCCTTCTTCTATCTGTCTTTCTGCCGAGGTATTGCAGCTCCGCTGACATAAATAATTTTTTGGGATCCCAAGTAAGGACGTCAATTTACGAAATGCATGGTATAAATGGGTACTAGTACTCTGTTGCACCGACTACATGCACGGTAGCTAGTTACCGTACTGACAGCCATCCCGTCCTTCACTATACGAAGCAAGTACTGGAAGCAATACATTACATCTTGCTTGCTACTACTAGCTAGCTAGTACTGGTAGCTATGCATAGTTCTTAGAGCATCATCAACGGTGGCCGCAAATATAGCTGCAAAAGATGGTACTCACGTAAACTTGTAATTTGCCGCTATGGGAGCCAAAAATCACCATCAACGCACTCAGATAAGCCCACAATAGCCTCAAATATTTGCTGACGCTTTGTGAGAAGATGTCGCTGACAGCAAATATCGCCGATTTGCTGTCAGTTGCTATGAGAGGTAGCTTGCCTCAAATAGTTGCATTCAATGTATTCAAAATGAATATATTGAATGATCCAAGTCATGGATACGTCACGGGCATTCACACTTGGATGCAGATCACATGACGCAACAGGAAAAGCTACATGAAAACGCTTGCCAATGGTTAGATCAACATGTTTCTGAAATGTTCTAGGTTTTGTCAAGCAACGCACCTGCAACCAAGCAAGAAGCAACATGTCTCGCTGCTTACCTTTGTTCATAGTTCTGGGATGTCATCATTCTCGTGGAATCCAGATTGGCTCAGCCAGTTTGAACTGACACAACCAGGGCAGAAGACGCAGTACGCCGCATCTCCGAGATTGGTGTACGTACAAGTGCACAGCAGGAAGAAGAAGGAGCAGTCGAAGAAGCAAAGACACCACCACCGAAGGTCACCCCTTCCTTTGGAATTTCGCAGTGGTCCCCTTGGTCGCAGGACCAGTTTGCTTATTTCATGAACAGAGAGAAGCAAGAAAGGCAGAGGAAGATGGCGCGTTCTTCTTCAAGTGGTACTGGTGGTGGCAAGCGCAAGTCCATTGGCAATGGCAAGTCCACTCTGATTGGTTCAAAGAGGCCTTCAGTTGCTGGTTCTCTCAAACAGGCTCCCAGGCCGCCTCCTGTTGAAGCTGTTATGCCTAATGGCACTCCACCAATGCCACCGCTGCGTGGTGGAGATGGAGTTGATCGTACATGTGGACGTTGCGAAGTCATGGGCAATAATTGTCCGTACCCGAGTATGGAGTGCCGCAGGCACAGGTGCAGTTCTTGCGAACTCTTTGTGCATGCTCTGCCTCCTTGTACTGGTGGTCGCAAGGATGATGGTTACCTGGTTTGTCACTTGTGCATGTTGGCGTACGGTGATGTCCCCAAGAACACTGATGATGAGGATAGCGAAGATGGAAAGAGGTCTCCCGACATGTTGGCTACTCAGGTGGACAATCAAGAGGATGAAAAAGAAGAGGAGGTTCTCGAAGCAGAAGAAGAAGAAGACGAGGTTGAAGTGCCAACCCAGCGTGCAACCCAGCGTTCTCAGGCGGCAGCTCGTGTAGAGGAAGTGTCGCAATTGCTCAATGGTGCCGCCTCAAAGGAAAGGCAGAAGCGTGGAAAGAACTTCACACCAGAGGAGGACGAGTTGCTCTCCAAGGCTTGGGTATCCACCACCATGGACTCGCGCAATGGTAGTGATCAGCGCCAAGCAGATTTCAACAAGAAGCTGTACTACGACTATCAAGACTTGGTTGAGGAGACCAACGAAGTGACCCATCCAGAACTCCCAATGGATCGAAAGCAGAAGAGCATTGTGTCTCGCTTCTCAACCATCAAGCACGGTGTCAACAAGATGATCGGCATCATGAAGATGCATCCCATCAAATCTGGAGAAACCATCGAACAGCACGAAACCAGATGCCTTGAGATCTTTGAAGAGACATACAACACCAAGTTCCCTTGGATTGATTGCTATCACGTGTTGGAAAATTGTCCCAAGTTCTCCGCCGCTGATGATAGTGGAAAGACCAAGGCAAACGGTAAGAAAGGAAAGAAGCACAAACGTTCTCAAGGAAAGAGGCAGAAAGCTTTGGATGACCGGATCCAGCGAATGCTTGACAACAAAGGCCTTGGCAATAACAACCCAGCTGGGACCAGGGCTGTGCAAGAGGCTGCGTCCGTTAGCGAAGCCATCGGTCAAATCTCTACTCACCTTGTTGATCAGGTCGCGGTGTCTCAATGGTCCGAAAATGACAAGGAAGAGTACTTCAAGAATGACGCCATGGAAAAGAAACTCTTGCAGCAGCGCCATATACTCAAGTTGCAGTTGGAATTAGACGGGTTGAAGAAGGTCCAGGCCAAGAGCGGTGGTACCAGCAAGGTCCTGAAATGGGACTAGTTTCACGCTTTTGGGTTAGTTTCACGCTTTTTGTTAGTTTCACCGAAAATGGATCACCGTTTCCTTGAAACTAACCCAAAAGCGTGAAACTAACCCAAAAGCGTGAAACTAACCCAAAAAGCGTGAAACTAACCAAAAAGCGTGAAACTAGTACAGTAACTGTCATAGTAAATCAACGTAAACACGACTAAAATCGTGAAACTAACTTAAAAGCTTGAAACTAACCCAAAAGCGTGAAACTAACCCAAAAAGCGTGAAACTAACCAAAAAAGCGTGAAACTGACCAAAAAGGGTGAAACTAACAAAAAGCGTGAAACTAACCCAAAAGGGTGAAGCTAACAAAAAGCGTGAAACTATCCTTTGAGTCCCGTTTCAGGACCTTGCAGCAGCAGCGATGACGACGAATAGTTTGGCAACCAAGAAAGAAGAAGTTTGACAACGAAGAGTGGAGTCTCTTGGAGTCTCTTGAGCGTTCTTGTTTTGGACAGTTGGGTGATCTTGCACAGAGCTATGATCTTGCTGCTATGCCGTTGCATCCAACTATGACGGCCATGTAAAACGTCATTGTGAATGGTACATCGTATCGGAATAAAACAAACAATAGTGTCATGGTTTACAGGCAAACTGCGTTTATAGTGCTATCTATCGACTGAATAGTCAGTCAGTGTGATGAGCCAGTCAGCTTGTCGCCTGTGGTTGGGGTCAGTCAGTTGCCAATACTTAGTGCAGCGTGACTTGTCGCCTGTCGTCCAGTACAAAATGCTGTAGAGTGATCTGGGTATTAAGACCTGCAGTGCATTAAGACTATTGTAATATTCTGGGCTGATACCTTAAGACTATAATATTATTATGGCTATATAGCTTAAGACCTGGCTGGATCTAGGGCATCCCAGCAGCCAAAGCAGCTACTGGAGCTGCTTTAGGCTTCAGCTGTACCTGTAGCACATCAGGCTTGGCATCAATCATGTTCTCCAATTCAATTACCAAGGTTCCCTTGGCCAATTTGCAGTCTGACTTGGACCTGAAGTAGATTGTCAACAGGGCAACGATCTCTGCTTTGGTCAGGGAAGCAACAACCTGCTTTCGCTTGAGCTTCTCCTTTGCATTTGGGGCCAGACTGTTGAGGCTTTCTTGGGCTTTGCGCTTCTTTTCTAGTGCCAGTTTCTTTTGAAACTCGTCGATTTTGGCCATGCCATCCGTAAGTCGTTGCCTGTTCTTGAGCTTGAGCAACACCCTCTCATCGTTGACCAGGGCGGCATGGTTCTTAATGTTGCCAGTAGCATCCAGCCTTCTCCGAGCAGCCTTCATCTTGTTGACTGCCACTAGTTTGTTTCCAATGATCTTCCTCTTGACGGTCACTGCTTCGGTAGCTTGGATTAGCTTCGACCGATTGTGTGAAGACATGGTTACGTCGAGATGCTTTGACGGTGACATCTTCGCACTAAACAGCGACCGCTTGTCACACATATGCTCAAACAGTTCGAGTCCCTGTTTTGAAGGTGGCTTAAGCATTAACATATCAAGGCCCTCCTCTGCCTTCTTCCGTTTGGCCTCGGCTGTTTCCACCTCCGGATCTAAAGCAGCCAACGACAGAACATCTTTCGCAGGAAGCATTCTCTCTAGATGTGAAGGATCTTCAATTGCCAACTCAATACACAAACGGACGTTTTGCATTTGAGCGGGTGGCACGAAGGCTTGCTCCATCATGGCTTTGATGCATGGGACGGACCAACCATCGTGTTTCTTGTAAGTAGCCAAGGATGCTTTCTTCTCTTCAGGAGTCATGCCGTGCCAGAATGACGGCAAGAGTGCGTACAGATCTGTTACTCCTTCTTTCTGAATGAATCACCGCCTTGCATGAAGTCCGCTATTTTGACACACCACTCGGAAAATGGGAGTCTGGTGTGTGGGTTCAAATTGACGGCCGTGAATGAACGTTCCCATGCCGTAGAGGTTGTGGCACGAATGGCGAACAGACCAACACTAATCAGACACCACTGGTCGACGACTCCACGATTTTCAAATACCGTTCGTCTCAAATAAGACAGACAATCGTTCTTTGCCGCCTTGTCCGCCTTGGCAACAAGTCTGTCATAGGCTTGGTTCACATGAGAGGAATCTCCCTCCTCCTTAAGTGACAGTATCTTGTAATCGTACCTGTTCTGTAAAGCAGGAAAAGAGGCCATGTGAGCACCAAAGCCGTCCCAGATTTCCAGCATCCACCACTGTGGGTTGGAAGCCACAATGGGATCAATATTCCGGAGCCCTTTGCACAGAGGAACCGTGAGTTCTTCCCAGCTTCCGTTGTCATGAAAGCATTTGGCGTCATGATAATGGTCGATCCCAACTTTGCTCCATGGTCTAGCAAAAACTTATCAGTGTAACCATCTTGCTTTTTCTTTCCTTTGAGAAGGAACATTGTGGGCCCAGTCTCTCCAGCAGCGCTTCCAGTGCGGTACATCGTAATTGAGTCTCGACTATCACTGGTGCGCTTCTCATGCTTGGTTCTGCCGCCGAACCGACCACCTTGGTGGAACCATCGGGACAAGCCATGAAGCAGGTTTCGTCCCTCCGTATAAAATGTCAATGACTTCCCAAAGGATTTTCCGGTAGGTTGCACGCCCTTGGTTCCTTCGAGCTTTCGAAGGAGTCAACGGTCTTTGCCAACGGTACTGTTGCACATTGATGTTGGTTCTTTTTGTAGTGGAGGCTTGGGCGGCAACAGTCCGAGGCTTGATGATGGTTGGGTACGACTTCAAAATAGTACGGTGGAAGTGCTCTGAGGCTTGCTTGCGAGTGAGCTCTGGTTCAATTTCTTGTACCATATCAATACATTCGGAGGCAGAGGCCCCGTCATTGCCTCTATCCAACCTGGCAGCAACTGTCGCAATGAAGATTTGATCCGTTTTGGCAACCAAAGGACGTGTCCTTGGCCGTTCGTGATTGTGCGCCTTTTGGATTCGTCTTTACAGACATGAGCTTTGAAAGTATTATAGGGAATACCAACTAGCTTGGCGAATCGAGCCATAGAGAGGGTTGACTCTCCATTGGAGTCAAGAGCTCTTCCGCTCTTGTTGAACCACTCCGTCTTGGCCAAATCAAAATTCGGCTTGTTCTTGGGCCCAGACCAATTCATGCGCTTCCTCTTTGCCCAGCGACCTTTGCGGGAGGAGGAGCCTTCTTGGCTGCGGGTATCTTCTTCTTCCTGGCTGCTTTCTCTTTCTCCGTGGCGGTTTTGAATTTGGTGGATCCCTTTGGCCGACCAGGGCCTCTCTTCTTCGTCACAAACACTTTCTCGCCTGCAACTGTCAGCCTTTTCTTGGGACGACCACGGCTCCTTTTCTTTTTGAAGAAATCCGTTACGGCAACCTGCTTGTAATGATCAACGTACTTGATCTGGAAGTCCCTATCATGGTCGTAATCCTCTTCGTAATCCTCTTCGTCAATGCATCCGTCCTCGTCCTCAATGCCATCGTCTTCTTCGTCAATGCCTTCGTCAATGCCATCGTCACTGCTGTCGGAAACGGCCATCTTGAGAGGAACGAGTGTCGGTAGACGAACGATAAAAGAAGGAGTGTCGATAGAGGTGCTTCGATAGAGGTGCTTCGATAGAGGTGCTTTATGCATGTGCGGAGAGACGATAGACGATAGAGGTGCTTCGCACCTCTACGGGAGCGAAGCAACGATAGAGGTGCGAAAGATACGGAGTTTCACTCGATAGAGGTGCGCCGTGGTGTTTCACTCGATAGAGGTGCGTAAGTAGGATCCTACGTAGATTCAGTACTAGAGGCACGACTGACGTCATTCGGTCTTAATCTGCAGCCAAAAGAATTCGATGACCGTTGACTGCATATCTTCAACCGTCCATAACTCCCCCAATAAGTACAGTATGAAGATGAGAATTTTTTGGCTTACTCAGCAACATGTGTTCTATCGATTCCCCTCTTTACATATACTATATTCGATATACAGCCCTGAAGAGAGTATTCCGGGAAACGGTCGGTCGTAAAGCCCAGATCACTCTAATGTTTCTTATTGGATTGCTGCTGTCTCGCTCTGTTTGGATACGAGTCTAGTCAGGCAGTGACTGCGACAAAGCCGAAGGAAGGGATTTCCATCCCTTCCTTTAATTAAACATGTGATACTAGTACCGGTCTCGATTTTTACATCGAATTGCATATGGGATTTAGTGTGGAGTGTCCTATCACGTTGTATTTATTTAGTATCGCGCTTCGCTGTTGCCTGTTATATGTACTATACACGTAGACGTCTAGGTACTGGTCCTGTATTCAGTTTCTCGTTCAACGACTAATACTATGATATGATTAGAAACGAACTGTCTACTTAAGGGTCAGGCAGGGACCCGAAGGTCGGAGGTCTGACCCATGGCTTAAGGGAGGGCGCAAGCCCAGCCCTCGGTCAGGCCGGAGACCGATGGGGCACAGACGTCCTTAAGTAACCGGTTTGTTTCGAATGCAACGATAACGGCTGGTTTTGTATGACTTATGGAATAAGTAACGGCTGGTTTTGTATTTAACGGTCGGTTTCAGTAGAACACATAGAAATCCTACCGTACCAATACAAAACCTGCCGGTTCGTTCTATAATAAACCGTCAGATCCGATGAAATCCAATGAGTGGAGGTGCGATCGTGAGGTTCCGAAGATATAAGAATTGCGTTGCATGCAAATTGAAGGCTACCACTCGCAAATCACTTCTGGCTGCAATTGAAGCAAAGGTGCTCATTTTGCTTATTTTTTGGCTCTTTCATTTAATAAGCATAAAGCGCCATGGTGTTGGTTTAAAAGAGTGAATCTATTTGAATGGTGGAGAGTCACTTAGCTATAAGCCAGTAGGCTGTTTACGTATCGATCCCTCGAACGCTAACACCCCCTGGATCGCATGCCATTACACAGGCGCGCGGGGAGCCATGAGACAGGCGCGGAGATCGAAGAAGTGACGTTTATCCTTCATTTCTTTGGTGAAAAGATCGAAAGGATTGAGTACGCCGGGAATGTGACGGAGGGAGATTCCCCCAAGACGGAGTGAATCGCGGACGGCGACTTCCCGAAGGTTGTGATGACGGAGCCGTTTAGTAGCAGCTTCGGATTGTGCCCAGGAAATACCCCCTGGTTGTCACAGAACATCAGCGGTGTGGGGTCGGCAAGATGCGGTATGCCAAGATCTTCAAAAAGTTGGCAAAGAGCAAGGATCATCTTGACCCCTTCGTCCATAGCTTTGATCTCTGATTCGCAGACACACTGCAGCTAACCCGTTTCTCACGAGCACTGGTCCAATCAAGAGGACCACCCATGTAGGTAACGACAGCGCCCAAAAGGGAGCACATTTCGCCGTCAGTGCGGGTCTCACCCGGCTTGGGATGACTGGCATCCTGGGGGCCCCAGTTGG